CCCCTCTGCACGTGCCTGGTGAAGTGACAGAAGAGTCCGAGCAGTTCTTCTCCGTAAGGGCATGAAGCTGCAGTCACGGAAATGTCTGCTGCTTTGTTATACAACCGAGGTACCAGTGGGCCGGGATTCCTGCCAAGATGAAGTCAGCGCTCGTATCTGAAACTGCCCTGATGGACCGGTGTCCTTTGGCGGTCACTGAACTCACTTTGTGTTTCAATCAAAATTAGGCACTTTGGATGGAAGTCAATCATGCTCCAGACAACAGTCTGTCCTGTCCTCTCCGCTGGTAAAGAACACAACACGGGTCAGCAATGCACCCGATACAAATGGATGTTTTATGGCACCGCTGCACGTTAGAAAACTTTCACCAGGATTGATAAATTGTCTATGGAATAAATGGAAAGTGTGACGATTTCAAATGCTGTGTTGAATATTTTCTAGCTCTTGTTGTGCTCACAAAGGATACAACAAAGTCTTTTAGTTAGTGATGTACTCTCTGACCTCAGTATTCTTTCTTGTGCCGTGTTACATTAATAAACATCTGAGGTAATCAACAGAAATCCTGTCGCATTGACGTAATCTCTCTTCATGACAAACTAATTTTCTTTTTTTTGTGTGCTATACCTTGTCTTAATAAGGGATTTTTGGTGTTGGCTTTGTATTTTGAGTCTTTTTTTGTGTAAGCATATGTTCTGTTTGGTGATTGATTTTTTTGTTTTTCCTTTTTGGGTTTTTTTGGGGGGGGGGGGGGGTTGTCATCCCTCCAGCTTATGGCTCAGCGTCCGGTTGGTCCCACTGTTTATTTCACCAGTAAATCAACCCACCTGTTCTCCATCACTAATTACCCACCATAGGGTTTACATTACTGGCTTCCTGCAGCTCATTGCCAGATCCCCCAATTGCTGCATATTTTCTCCCTCCTTGCAGACAGCAAGTTTCGTGCTTTTCTAGTTTTGCTTTGGGAGTTTAGGACTTTGTTTATTCAGACACATTTGTTACCAAGCTGGACATATTCTGGACTTGTGCTTCACTGGAAACAGAAAGTAAATCTTCACATATGTAATGTTCAGTAGCCGAAGGGTTTAAGACCTATATTTGTTGTTTGGCTTCTTATTTATTTATTTATTTATTTTCCATGTTTCTTGGCGTATTATATGAATACGCTGGTCGCTTATGTGCTCTAAATAAGATGCACAGATTATTGTTTGATTGATTTTATGAAATCAAAACATCAAAGTAGGCAGGTTAATAGAATGTGAAGATGTGTTTTTTTTGTTTGTTTTTTTTGCTTTTAATTATGGTATCGGTTTGGTTCAGGCAAGATTTAATATGTCCTTGTGATAAAAGTTCTTTCTTCCCATTATAGATATTTTTAATGCTTTCCTGCATGCGTTACTATGGTTACACCCATTATCTAACAAGATAACACATGGGTTCTTCTTGTAAGGGGATTTCAAGCACCCTGTTGAAAGCAGAAATTGTTAGAGTCTAAAAATCAAACTCCTTGGCTGCAGATGTTTATATTTACATTATTATGAATTCATATAATGCCTGTTAAATATATGGACAAATTTTACTGTATCAAGAGTTTGGAATTTGCTCTCTTATACGATAACCAAATTAATTCTTTAATTAAAAAAAAACATGCATTCCTGAGGACGCCTATAAATTTGATCATATGCTCTCAGGTTTTAAATACAGAAAAACAATTGGCTCAAACATTTATAAAGATTCATGCAGTCTAAAGATTGGAGTAGCTCTTCGGCGTAAAAGTATTACATTTTTGTCTTTAATTCATATTCCGAATAGTTTCTCTTTTTTTTTCTTTTTTTTACGATAGAAGTTAAATTATCTGTGCGTATGTGTTTTGGAGAGAGCGCTCGCACACACGACAGTAGCTAAAAAGCCTCGGGGCCCTGCTCACTGCTCAGTTTGAGTTCCTCAGTGGGGGGAAGACGCTGCTTGAGCAGACACATTAATCTGGACTCGGGCACAGAGCATCAGCCAAGAGAAGCTGCAGGTAAGAAATATGACAACAAAACTACTTTCTTAACCGCAGAGTCGGAAAGAGGAAGGAGGGTGAGGAGAGAGGGAGGTAGGGAGTGCAGGAAGGATTTGGGAGGAGGCGGGGGAAGAAGAGGCAGGGGGAAAAGGAGGCTGAGGGGGGAAGAAGTAAGAGAGAGGCTGAGATTTGTCGGAAAACTCTGCATCCTCTCTGCCAGCCTGAGGCTGTAAGTTGTCTCTTAAAACATTTTCTCCGCCACAGCTCGGATGATTTCCTGCCCTTCTGTAATTTGTGTGCCTTTCTGCAGCCCAGTGGGTTCAATAAAAAAAAAAAAAAAAAAGCTGTGATTGTTGGTATGCAGGTGTGTTTGGCATCATATATTATTATGAGGACACAACGTAAAAGTGGGTGCTCTCATGCGGTGTTTTTTTTTTATACTTTTCTCTATAAGGTTTTTTCTTTTCTCTACAAGTAACATACATTTCCATTAGCAGCATAATAAACAGAAATGACTACTCGAGTTACTGCTTTAAAAAACATTCCAGCATTTCAATACTTCTTCACACTTCACTGCATGTTTTCCTTTGTAGGAATGATTTGTTGTTGCCTCCTTTAATTGGCTGGATTAAAATCAATTCCTCCCTTGCACAGAAAGGTTTCATAAATCACACAGCAACATGGTTTTTTTTGTAGCAAAGCTGATGTATCTCATCTATTCAGCTGGTCGGCGATCGATCACGAAAATGCTCATGAATCTTCCAGACAGGTTAAATGGTATTTAATCTGCAAAAAGTGAAGTGCCAACTAACTGGCTTGTGCTCTGTATGATGCCCTTGACCTTTATGTGTTTGCTTCGGCGGTAGCCTTTTAAATTATCAATGAGGAGCGCGCTGAACCGTGCTGCAGGTGAACGAAATGCAAACAGAATCTGACCGAGACCCGGGTACATTTAATCTACAAGTTTCTAAAACCACGGCTTTTGTAAACACAGACGAGATGTTCCATGGAGGTGATTAGCTGCCACGGTTGCGATTATTAGTCATTTTTAAAATTTATTGGCTCCTTAATGGACATGTAAAACAGGCTTAGCTTTCTAAATGGAAGATCACCTTGGACGAGAACATCAGCAGCGCCGGTAAATGGCAGTAATGACAACCGGCTGCGTTATAAGCTTATTAATGCGATCAGGCCGTCTTCCTAATCCTTTCTTTTACATTAGATAACAGTCGAGGAATGATTACTGCCATCTTTTCTTTCTGAAATCTCAGATATCTTTTTTTTTTCGCTCTACTCTGTAATCATCGCGTTAAGTTGAGAGGGTTGCTGCAGCCCTCTTTTTATTGTTCATCTGTTGTGATATTATACTTTCAGTCATTCATGGGCTGAGTTTTACATACCATCACTGCTCCAGCTTTGTACATACGTATCCGTGCATCACTCTGCACTCAATTCTACCGCGAATCACACAAAGTATTTCAAAACTGGGTGCTTCTACTTTCTGCATGTCTGTATTTTTCTTTTATAAATGGCTCATGTGTTGACAGACTGCCGTGATCTTCTGTGCTAACTCGTGTCTCTGGTGATTCTCTTCCGCAGCTCCCATCAACCCTCACCTGAGTAAGTAGCATTTTCTCTCTACATTTTGCAAAAGAGTGTGTAAAAGCATTGGCATGACTAGACTCTACAGTCCTGATGATCCTAATGATTCTAAATATATCAAACAAGGCAAGATTTTACTAATATCTGGGGGGAAACTAAGAATGAGTTTTTAATCGCATTCCACATTGTGAAATATCCCAGTTTAGGTTTCAATAGTCAATGTACTGGGAGATTTTTATACCGTATCACATTTTCTTTTAAGATGTGACATGTTTAAAAAACTGATTGATGTCTCATTTTGATATCTCAATGTTTGTCTCAATCTAAAATAATCCTAATGCCAAATTTAAGATGATAGATGAGCTGATCAAATGGAGTCAAACCTCTGAAATATTCATTACTGCTAGCTACCAAGCAACTGCTAACTTCAGCGTCGTCAGCAACTAGCAGTCAGTCAGTCAGTAGTGGTATTTTCACATTGATTGAAATATAGTCTGTTATTTTTTTTTTTTTACGCTACGTGCATTCTCACTGTGTTTGCTAATCATATTTCATCTGTCAGTCATTCACAGTTTGTTGTTCATTCAGCTGAGTTTCCAAAGTCAAGCAAGACAAACTGATTAAGAGAGACTGAGGCTCTTTGGATGCTTTTGTAAATGAGTGTTTTCAGAAAACTGGAGGAGAAGTTTTTATTGGTTGAGGCTGTTGGCACGTCTCAAGGACTGGCTCATTTATTTTTTCTTTCTTTTTTTTTTTACAAAGTTGTAGCTATGGAGCTTCAGTCATACACAGAACTGGGTGTCGAGCTTAAAGCCACTCGTCTTCATATCAGGGCCCCTGATATTAACTCACATTTACTTCATCAGACAGTCACAAGTTGACAGCAACTAGATAACAATGAAGATGTCCCTCTCACAACTCCTAATTATAATATCATTGCACCTTTATTAAATCCAACGGAGAACTACTGGTTTAACAGAAAATGATGCACTAATTGCAAAACTTTCCAAGAAAAAAATTCAATGATTTGTATCTTATAATCTGTTTAAATTTCTTTTTTCCTCTTTGAGTTTAGTTTAGCTAGTAGATTCAGGTTGTGTGAAAGGTTGAGTCATCTGTAAATGTAGTTCAATGTAGTTTCATAACCGGATAAATGAGTTTACCACAAAACAGTGTTGGATGGTGTGAATAATCCATGAGGGAAATTAAACATTTTGGATAAAATGATTATATTTTTGTGCATATTCCCCATTCAGTGAGTTTTGATTGTAATGTTTCGTCTCATTTGTTGCGCGTTTTTACACAAAAACTTTACAAATTCACTTTATGTGTCACCCGAGAATCCTAATCATTGTCTACTGTATTGTGGTGAGCTGCCGTGCGTTGCTGCTGTTATATATTTATATGCAGCTGATTTATATTTTGGTGGGTGTTCACGCAAACACCGCCAGCACAGAAACAAACATCCTAATCACCGGCATCATTATCCAAATCCCTGTAGGAGACTATCTTACCTGAACGCCTCCATTTACGACCCTCAATCCCTCTACCTATTCTCCGAATCTTCGCCTCTCTCTCTGGCGCGGGAGGCAGAAATATGTCGTTTAGCTCAGAGCGGACGGGGGCGTTAATGTCTCGCACCAGGCCTACATTTAAATCTGTGCGCCTGCGAGGAAAAAAGTCAAGAGTGCCTGCGAACGCAGCTTTGTCCTCTCCGTCTCTCGCCTGGCGCTCTCCCGGCATCCATGCCCTCTTCTCTTCTTCTGTCGATCCACCCACCAAAGTACCTCCGTCGACGTCGGCTCCATTACCTGAGCAAAAGCTCCTGCTCCTCGCAAGGTCAACTACTCCAAGCTGCTGCTGGCCACGTTTTAATAAATCAATGAATATTTATCAGCTCACATGGCCACATCCTGCATCTAAATGCTCCCGGTTTACCGTCTCTTTGAGGACGCTGCTCGCCGCTGCCGCGTCCTCTGATTATGTGTTTAGCTTTGTTTGTTTTGCGGATTAAATGGAGGTTTCGACACTGCCGATCCCACTGCTCTGCCCTCATTAAACCAAAACTCTGCCTTTTTTTTTTTCTCTCCTTGGTTATTTTTTTGCGTGGGATTTCTGACTATTCATTAGCATTTCCACTGTTAGACGTTCCCGTCAAAGTGACCCTTCATAACCTCATATAAGAGTTACAATTACCCTTTCATTCCATTTCATTCTCTCAGCACGCTTTAAAAAAAATAAAATAAAAATTGCTGTCAAAGGGGCACGACGAGGTGCGGAGGAAAAAGCAGAGCAGGGCGCTTGGTGGCTCCACCTGAGGAGCACCTCGAGGATGAGGTGTGATTGAGATGACGTGGGTTTCCAAACCGATCACACACAGAGTGTGTGTACAGATGAAGCCTCACTGGGCCTCCAAGGACAGCCGTCTCATCTTTTTACCCAGTGATGTTAAAAGAACTGATTTTAGCTATGTCGAACCCCTTGCAAAATCTGTAAAAAATAATGTTTTCACATGAGACTCATGCATAGTTGAATATTTTTCTTTGAGGCCTCAGTAATGACATGCCTTTTCGCTCCCACACACACACACACAAACACAAACGCGCTTTTCTGTAAGTTTCTCAGTAACACATCTGCATCAGCTCACTACACCGCCTGCCACCGTCAGGAAAAAGGTTGAAAACGTTGAGCAGCGTGTTCTCTGCAGTCAAACAGAGGTCAGGTCTTAATTTAGAAACCCTTTGCACCACGTTTCATGATGTAATTAGGACATAGATTGTTGTATGTACTCCTGAGACAGAGACACTACAGGAAAGTTCATAAATATACAGCAGGCGTCTTGCAGCTCACACGCATCGCTGTAGCTTCCAGGCAGTTTGTGCTGTCCTCCGCTCTCTCTTTGCGATGACGCGAACGCCCGGGTGTGCTCTCTGCCAATCTCCAGGGGAGTTCCACTGCAGCTTTGAGGAAGAGCCGATCTGCATGTTTACCCAGGACAAGAACGATGATTTTGATTGGACGAGGCACAGCGCCGCCACCCGGGACACAAAGTACACACCCAACACCGGCCCCAGCGCGGACCACACTGGATCCAAGCAGGGTGAGTGGTTCGAGTTTTGCCCATTCGCTAAGCTTCTCTCGCCAAAAAGTGATTTTTTTTTTTACACTTGATGAAAGGAGGGATGTTTGCAAACTTATCTATTTGTATTAGTATAATTCTTTACACAGTGCAGTGTTTTCTATAAAGTCTGTGAAAGTGATTTTATTTACAATAATCTCTCAACAGGAATAGTAAAGAAATCGTTCAGTTTCACTGCCGTGTTTGCTTTTCTTCATAATTGTTTAATCTAATTTAGGCTGTGCAGACGCGTCACCGGGAAGCCATAAAAATGCAGCACCGAGTTTGTTTGAGTGCTGATTTTATTTTTGACTACAGCATCCTCCGTGCACTTTTAACCGCTCACTGGGAGAGTGCAGATGAAACCACAGAACTGCCTTCCAGGTCATAAATGATGACACATTTCAGATAGATATGCACATATTATAGCTGGGGTTTTTGTTGGTGGGGTAAAAAATTAATAAAGTGCTTCTGCTCATGTCCACTCATCATCACTTCACAACAAGCTCGCCGCTCCGACACAGACAGAGCCTCAGAATACACGATTAAGACTTGGAGTCTGAAAAGAAGTGATGGTGTCATAACCAGCACCTCCCTGAAAAGTTCAGACTTTTTATTTCTAGAAATTCAAAACGGTTGCAAAAGCCAAGCGTTCTTCTCTTGCTGTGCAGATCTTTAGCAATCCTGATCTTCAGAACAAAATAAGACATTCACTTCTTACTAGCTTTTTTTTAGGCCTTACAAAGTAGATAATTGTAAGTTCAAAAGTTTTTGAAATGTTTTTTTTTTTTTCTCATTCTAAACATTTGAGTGAATTTTTGGTGTCATTTAATCCCTGAGAATATATTTGTTTAGATTGACAGAACACATGAAAGGTACAGCAGATATTATTACAAAATCATCCAGTAGAAATTTGTGGAAAAATTCTACTCTGACAAAACTAAACTTTTTATCCTTTAAAAAAAACATAAGATGAGTTTGTTGAACCAGATATTCAATTGAAACTGAATGTTTACACTGTATATAAAGTCTCATAACCTTTTTATTTTCCCTTTCTGACATTAAATCGGGTTAACTTTTCTATTTTAGATCTGTTAAAATTATGCATATCCATTAAGGTCGCTATTCCTTTGAGTAATTTAGCACAATGGTGGAATGACTTTGTAAGCTAATGGTATTGAGCTAACAGCTCAATGTCCTGGGTGACACCATTAGTTGTTGGCTAGCCATGCTAATCTGTGTCATCTGCTTTTGCTGTTCCTTTTCAAATTTCTGTCAGTCAACATAAACCCAGGCAGAGAGACTTTGGAGTCAGTGAAATGACTCTTACCTCTTGTGATGACTTGAATTTCCTCCGTCTCTCTCTGCTCTTCGGTCCTGCTCCGTGCCCCAAAGATTCTTGTTTTTTGGGGGGGGAGGGAGTTTTTGGCATGAAATGTGTGAAGCAACACCTGAACAAAAGCAAAAGATAAGGCAATAAAAAACTTCTAACCCTGACTGATGTTACACTTTTATTATTTAGTTCTGAGAAGCTGATGCAAGGACATCCAAACGTTTCACCCTGGAGAAGTTTCAAAGACAATCATACAAAATGCTATTGAAATATTTGTCAACTTATAAACCGTTTGACTTATTCTGCAAGGAAACTATTCTGCATTATAGCATAATGTCTCTTTCTATGACGGCAGATTTTAAATATGACAAAATAAAAATCTTTCAAAACTCAAAGCACTGTAGAGCATGGCATTCAAGCAAAGCAAGAATCTTTATTTGGCAAAAAATAGTTACTCAAAATTTTCCAAGCAATTTATAGTCAAAGCAATAATGTAAAAATAAATACACTATTGCATGACTAACAAGGCTGGACAAGGACCCACGTTGTTTTACAACCACACACTGATGAGAATGGAGGTAAAAAAATCTCTTAACGCTCAGTGTATGAGAACCGCAGCGACACAGGGCACCTTGGCGTCTCAAAATCCCAATAACAACACAGGTAAGCCTTTTGTAAACATCTTTACTTGTGGAGGGCTAATTCATTATGCTGAACAACCATCAAAACAAGCTTTCTAAGTACCAGACATATCTCCAGTACAAACAAAAGAAGAACTATTTTAATGATCATTTTGGACATCCAGTCAGTTAGCGATTGGATGTTTTTGCGTCTGCTGCTAAATACATGTTTTTGCCTTTCGGTCAGATTCTCATACAGAGAACTGGGAACTGTAAGCGTAGCTGCAAAACACACAACCGTGCATTCATTTAAACATTGACACAACTATGACGTCGTGGTGTAAATTGTGTAAGACGACACAAAGTTCCCACGGTGCACAGAAACATGGTGTGATTATTGTGTTAATGATGTGCCAACACAAGCATATTGCGAGTGTTTTGACTCTTTCGGTCCCTTCTGTCGGTTGTTTTTGACGAGCTGGATAAGTTTGTATCACTCAACGTCTGATTGCACGGGAGACGTCGTCACATCTCAGCCCAGCAATGTGCAGTCCCCATTATTTATTTTTGAAGTAATCCCGCCATCCCCACGGCCCATGAATTAACTAACTCAATCAGGACAGAACCATTAAAACCCAGATACGTTTGAATCAGTCTGAGGATTTCCATACGAGGGCTCTGATGGTTGTTATCTGTGATGGAATTATGCTATTCCTATTATGCTGCTGTGGCTCCGGCAGCAGCTGGAGCAGTAAATAATGCATTGGCTTTAATCACCTAATGGTTTCCAAATGTCCGGCATTTCATTACCAGGCCGATTCCTCTCTGCGTATAATTATCTGATATGAGATTCAACAGAGGGAGATATTCCATTTGAGTTTGGCTGCAGGGGCGTGGAGCTGCTCACTCGCTACCTTCCCTGTGCCTGTGGCAGGGCGCAGATTGGCTTCAGATTATTTCGCTCAGACACAATCAGAAGAAGTCTCTTTGCCGGTGCACTGTGCACGAGTGTGAGGCCGAACGAGTGTGAGTTTAGCCCACGTGTTATCAGCCTGATTGGCTCCGGGCTGCTGCGATTAGCAAAAAGAGGACTTCAAAGAAAATCACGTTATCTCGCACAAGGAAGGTTTAGTTTCCATTTATCTGTCGCAGAGTTTAGATATTGTTGATATTAAAAAACAATCGATAGGTTTGTGGTTGGGCGCATGTGCTGTTTTTGGAAGTTTTACGGTCAAAACTTGGGACGTTTTATTGGTGCAGGTGCACTTTTTTATGTCACCGAATTGTAATAAAATTAATTAATTAATAGATAACACTAAGATTGAATTTGAAACAAATAGTGCCTTGGGTTATTGAATTCACTATACTGAGAAAAGTGTCCCGTCTTAGTTTCAGAGCACCATGTTTGGGCTTCTCACTTTATTTATATCACAGCTAACTTTTTATAATCAATATTATAGACAGATTACTGCTTTTGTGTTGATTTTATGTTATTTTGATCGACTGTCTAGAGTTAAGTGATCTCTGTTGTAAGTTTTGTTGTTGACCTACTATGAGTTCAAAAAGGTTTCTCTTCTGAGCAAGACATTTTAAAATGTTTCCTCTTTCTTTGCGTAAAAAGTACAAACAGGCATAGAAGACTGTTTCACACATTTTAAAAATGTGCCCCTGTTTCTTTAAGGTTTCTACATGTATATTGAGACGTCCAGGCCACGTAAAGAGGGAGATCAGGCACGGCTCGTAAGCCCCTTTTTCAACATCGCACCCAAAAACCCTTACGGCATCACCAACCCGCCCGCCTACTGCTTTGGCTTCTTCTACCACATGTACGGGAAACACATAGGTAAGATATGCTTTTTGTACTAACTCTGCGTCTTCTACAACAGAAATATCTGTGTTACTTTCTGGAACAAATAGCAGTCGATCCGCATTGAGGGATTATCTTAATTAAATCATAAACACACTTGAAGAAAAGAATAATTACTGTGACCCTTTGAAGGACGTGTTGTTCATGTTTACTTGCCACAGTGTGAGCTCTAATGAAGTTGCAATTGTTGGCTAAATCAAGGAGATTCACCGTAGTTCGTCAACAACCAAGTTCGTCAAGAATGACGTACGAAAGCTTGTTTTATTTACCGAATCGTGTAAATCCCAGCTTATCTCTGGGTCTCTGATTTGAAGGAACGAAATGTTTTGGAGAAAGCAAAGCACTCTTGCTGCAAAGAACAGAATTTGTCTTGTAGCAAACAGGGTTGTTTTATCGATGGCGGTTGCAGGTTGGAGATTTGTGCTTTGAAGCTTAAATTTAGCAAGTGCATCTGACAGATGTCTCAAGCAAAAGGTATCTCACTTTTGCAACAAACCTCCTCAAAGGTGCGTACAAAGATCCTGGGCATTAGCTCTTAACATTCATCTCTGAATATAGATAACAACTTTGCATGGCCCATTTGAAGATAGTGGAGCGACTGAAGGAGCACTCTGCCGCTCGTGAGTGACTCTCTTCACCGGGGACCCAATCAGTCGACCGCAAGCACTCCTTGCTCTCTGAGTACATGCTGTTTGTAGTGTTTGTGCATTTAGGGGATGTGGATAAGACGACTTCTGCCACACCAAAACAGACTCAGTTGAAGGCTATTTGTGGTGAAATCGCTACCTCAGGTTTACCTCCTATCGTCAGGGGCTGTGCAGGGGTGGGTGGAGTACCCAAAGGTTGTACTTAAGTAAGAATGGCACTACTTCAACGTATTTTTACTCAAGGAAAAAGAAATTACTCCAGTAAGAGTAAAAAAAGTATTTGGTAAAAAGGCTACGATCGAGTTCTGAGTAAAGTTACATCACCAGACAGACCAAAATATAAATTTATGTGGAATTTTTTTGCCATTTTAAAGATCAAAATGAAAGTAATTCAGTGTTCTTCTTCATTCAGTGAAGTTTCTCACTGAGTATCGTCCAGAAGTTTTACTCAAGTAAGACTAGCTATACACTGTACTTTTTGCTTAAAAACAGTAAAAACTACAGTGTAGCTTTAAAGAAGATTCATTTGTACACCTGTGTTTAGTGAGTAAATAAGGAAGTTAATTTAATTAAGATGGTGTGATCAACAGTGCCAAAGGCTGCTGAAAGGTTAAAACAGTAGGTTACCCAGTGTCTGTTAGATAAATTTCACAGTTAGATACATTAACGACAACCAGATTTGCTTTTATCAAAATTATTTTGTTGATCCAGAAAAACAGCCTTCAGTTGGCCAACCACCAATTTTTCTAAGATATCTGAGTTAAAAGGTAATTAAGAAATGTCACTGTAGTTGTTGGCCAAATAACAATCTGGTTTTCAAGAGTAACCTGGGTTTCTCAAGGAGCCCAGTCTGTTTAAAAGAAGCGGGAACAGTGATGATTATGAGGGAAAAATGTACAATATCCATAATATTGATTCCAATTACAATAAAAACATTGGGAGGTCGGTAGAATATTGACGGGGCTTCCAGACTAACATCCTGAAAACGTACAAGTGTAAACGATGACTAGGATTGAGAAAAAGATAAGTGGAAGAAGAGAGAAGGGGTGGAGGTGGAAGATTATCCCTGAAATCCCTAATTTTACTTTCAAAGAATGTAAAAAAGTTTGTATTGACGAACTGTCAAAAAGTACATGGAGCTATGGAAGAAACAATCTCATTTGTTGTGTTCAGTGAAATCTTTGAGCTGAACCTTTTTACAAAATATGAGGAGCGAGCTAAGCAGCTAAATTGAGGTCTCATTTAAAGTCCATCAAAATAAAATCTATGGACTTTAGTAGCATTTAAATAATGCACTGGTACAACTAACAATGTTCATTTTAAATTTAAACTTTGCCTGAGTGCTGAGGTAAAGCACTTTGAATTAACTGCCTTGTTGCTGAAAATGTGCTATATAAATAAAATTACCTTACCTTAAACATGAGTTTTATAGACATGGCTAAAACTACAAATGATTCCAGACTCTTTTAGCAGATATCCAATATAACAGGGATGGTAGCTTTAATAAACACACACACATGTTTGCATAGCTATCTGTGTGGGGACTTTCCATTGACTTCCATTCATTTCTACAGCATAAACCTTACCCTTATACTAACCCTAACCATTACATATCTAACCTCCAATTCACACCTTAGTCCTACATCTAACACCTCACTCAAAAACAGTGTTTCCACTTGGGTCCAGGCTTTGGTCCCCACAAGGAGCAGTGGGTCCCCACAACGTAATATGTATCAGGAAAATGGTCCCCACAAAGTATTATAAACAAACGCACTCTCACACACACACATTAAAGTGACATTGAAGAATCTGGCATTTCTACCAGCTGACTGGTCAGTGGGAACAGAGGATCAGGACTTTGGTTGATTGAGAACAGTATGATCAGAGCTGAACAATTGGAGATTTGGCATAATTCAAAGGAGAAATGGGTCTTTCGCTCAGTCCCTGAATGTGGGGCCAAGTTGGCAGAGCAAGATGGGGAGAGAGAACAAGTCAGGGCAGGGGGTCTGGCTGAATGTGACTTTTAACAAATTGCACCAGGTGGAGGAAGGTCCAGAAAGAGAAGAGCCCATGTGGGCTCTTTGTGAAGGTCTGCAGGATTTAGCTGGGTGACGTTCAAATGAGGCTGTATAGCTGGAACAAATTATGAGTCGTTGGCCGGCTCCTCTGCAATTTAAACCCAGAAAAATATTTGTAGTATTAAAGGACTCTATGCACAAGAAGGTTTCTCCTTTTAAATTAAGGTGCATTTAAAACTAACAGTTTTTTATGTCAAAAATCAATTTGTGTGGCTTAAAAGTATTAAAAAGACAGTTTAAAGGCTACTGAAGGCTCAAAACAGAACTGTTTGTAGTTGAATCATAAAAAATATAGAGACATGAAAAGAACCAAAAGTCCAAAAGGAGTCAAGGTTTCAAGGACTTATGCACATAATATAATTACTTATGCACATAATATAATTACAGCATAAAATGAATCAGCGGAAAGTTAACAGAGGTCAATTTTCTCTGTTATCAGTGACAATTTATTGATTCACTTTGACTAAATTCAAACTGTTACCTCCTGTGATTTATGCAAGTCCTATTGAGATTACATTTTCCAAAGTGTTGTACATAATGAGAAAACATTTTTGATATATTACATTGGAACTGCCACCATAGCAAAGTGTTGCTGCAGGTGTGTGGCCAAAATAATATAGTCGTTGAGGTAGCAAATGGATAGAAATAAGTCTCACCAAAGCTTCCACACGATGACTGGATAACCTCAGTATGGATTAAAACCATCTTTAAAAATGCATGTTTTATTTTTATCAGTCTCAAATGAATCAAAATCTAATGTCTGAAAAGTAAATTCTGATTGTCAGGGAACATAAATTACTCACTTACAAAGAAGATGATTATGGAAGTGGCATTTTGTCAGTGTGATGTTCTTCAACTGTAATGCTGCGGTAGGTTTATCTGATATCTTACTAAATTCACACCTTCCATAAAGTTCTTTTCTCATCAGAGGAGAATCCCAGAAGTCTTGTGGATCATTAAGATATTTTGGGGGGAATGTCAGATGATCCTTTGTTCCTGCTGTAGTTCTCGTCTTAGCTGCCATTTTTGCTTGGTTTATTTACTATTGAATGACAAACACTGAGTTCAACCGAGGCGGCGCTGAGGTACAAATGATTTGGGTCGGGTTGGTTTGTCGCCTCCTCGTAAATATGGTTGTTCAGTCACTAATAGTTCATTCACCACAACTTCTTCATTTTCTTTCCATTTCTGGGCAATTACTCTTACTGCGTTTTATTGAGTTTGAAATGTCTCTTTAACCTTCTCCAGAATTATAGATGCCATTGATTTTGTTTCTTCTCTGTTCTTGAATGTCTTTGTTACATAATGTGTTGCTCTTTTAGATCTTTTAGCCAATTCGCGTCATCACACTGGTTCTGTTGATGAGATTTGTTAATTAATTGTGGTCTGGGAGTAATGAAGTGTAGGTGCGAATTGTGAAACTAAACGCAGCTTTAACTTACTTTCTTATTTTTATTTTGAAAACAGCTTTTTTTTTTTTTTTTTTTTTTTTTTTTTTAAACCATATTTAAAAAAAAAATAAAAAAAATTTTTTAAGGGGGCAAAGTAAAAATTCCGTAAAAATTT